GAAACGTCAGGCAAATTAACCTCTTGTTCCAGTGATCGCATCTTCGTCTTCTGAACTGAAAGGCTTTATTGGTATCGACTCGATGATTCGTATCAGCAAAGTGTGCGAGGATGGAGCTCGAGATCGATTTAGTTTCACCTTTGCTTAGCCAGGCCGGTACGTGTTCACGTACTCTCTTTTCCAGACGCCTCGTTGTTCGGCCAATGTATCTTGCTCCACAGGAGCAAGTGAAGGAGTATATGCACATGGATGTGGCCTTCAACGGGAGTCGGTCTTTACTTCCCAATCGTAAGAGGGGAGAGTTCGTGAATAACACGCGTATGTTCGCCGCGGTGAAGCGTTCATTTCCCCTGCAAATGTTTGGCCTGATGACGAGTTGTTGGAAACATATGTTTGCCATAAATTGACTTTTAAAATAGTCGTTTAGTCTACCCATATTCAGTGACTGAATAACCCGTCTCATGGCTCTCGTGATATGCGTACTTTTTACTTGTGCGTATTCTGCCAAGCACGTCTGAGCCGCTTTGTGTGGCTCACGTCTGATCGTCGCTTGTCTCTCCGCTGCCAACTTCCTCGTGGGTCTTGTCTGCTGTTGTGCTGCCAGTGCTTGTTTTTCCCCCCACGTGTGTCGGCCGCCTGTTATGACGCATCGACCCGTGTCTCATTCTGGCTTGTTTCACGTACATACACGTTGGCCTTAGATATAAATGGCGGCCCCAATTGTTCCACGCCGTGACTGTTTCCTAATAAGAAGGTTCTTAACACCAGCTGGGTAAATAAATGTGGTAGTTTACTGGACAGTCGGTAGACAACAAAGCTTTTTTTAATTTGCGTTAATATGTGATGGTCCCCTCGGTTCATAATTTTAACGGCGTCAGAGTTGAAGACGTGCCCCATCTTTGCAACATAGGTTGCTATCAACGGATTTGGGTTCTACTTTCTTACAGCTAGCTGATGCTCATGCTTTCGAGTTTGTAGCTGTTGGCCGGTTTCTCCAGTATAGTTGCAGATTTTTCGGCCGCATCACCTATAACCGAAGT